AAGAATGATCAACCACAGATGAATTGGCCTTTTGTTCCTTTTCCGACATTGCTGAACCCTTTCTGCAGTTTCAACTACCTGACGTCTGGCCATGTCATGATGCTGAAGCCGGCAGCCTGAAGTCGTGTTTACTCTGGCCTACGGACCCGTCTGCAGAAAGGGGTCAGTCAGAACACCTCCTCAGACCGCAGGAGGGCCTTGCGGAGGCACTCTGAGACACCGTGCAGAAGAAATCCTGAAAAAACTGTACCCAACACCGTTTCTGTATGTGCCAATTTTCCTCTCAAAGGAAACCGAGTATCTTTGAAATGTATGGGAAGGGGTCAAGATAGAGAATATAAATTAAGCTTTACATGCAAATATTGAACATTTTGAAAACATAAACTTAATTTTAAAAAGGCTTAGAAAACAAACAAAGCATATTTACAACAAAAGTTCAATTTAAAAAGTATGTATAACCATGATGTATAAGTCCACGCCAACGGCTCGGTTTAAAAGCACTGGTTGCTAGGCAGGGTGAGAGAGAACAAAAACCTGGTCGGGCGCGCACCCCCTGCAGTGCCACGCGCTCCAGGAAGTGCCTCTCCCCGCCCCAAACCACAGCTGCCCTGGGACCATTCCATCCCCTCGAGAGAGTGCTGCCTGGGGCCCAGACCAGAGGCACAACTCTGACAAATGAGATGAGTGACGTGGGCTGGGAGGTCTCTTGGTAAGGTTTTCCCTGATCTTCCAAAGGGATGCAGACCACTTCACACACACACTGGAAGGGCCACTGTCAAAACTTCAAACAAAGCCAGAAACACCACGTGTCGGTGAGGATGTGGGGAAACCAGAACCCGCGTGCACTGCTGGCAGGAATGTGAAACAGGAGGGCCGCTACAGAAAGCAGTGTGGTGGCTCCTCAAAAATGTAAACATAAAATTACCATGTGACCCAGCAGTTGCATTTTGGGGTACAGGTGCAAAAGAATAGGAACTTGAACAAGATATTTGTACACATTCACAACAGCCGAAGGTGGAAGCAATTCAAATGTCCATCAACAGATGAATGCATAAACGAAATGTGGCCTGTACATATAGAAGAATTATTATTCAGCCTTAAGAAAGAAAGTTCTGACATCTGCTCCAACGTGGATGGGCCTTGAGGACAGTGAAACAAGCAAACCAGTCACACGGAGATGGACACCGCACGCTTCCCCCTGTGTGAGGTCCCAGAGCAGGCACAGGCGCGGACAGAGAGCGGACTGGCGGCTGCCGGGGCGGGGAGAGGAGGGGCGCTTACTCAATGGGTATCGAGTTCCAGTTCTGCACCATAAAGAGAGTCCTGGAAATGGATTAACTAACACCTGTGAACTGCGTCATTAAAATAGTTACAGTGGTAACTTTTACGTGTAATGTGCCACAATTAAAATAACTGTATAAACAAGAGACGGAGGAGAGGAGAGGCGAGGAGAGCACGTTATTCCTGAGTTCAGCCACGACGGACGGCCCGCGGTGCCCGACGGCCACCTCGGAACTGCGCGAGGAGCGCACGGGAGGGCGGGCCTCCCTGAGGACGGCGGTCAGAACGCTGGGCACTCCCTCCCGCTCCGGCAGGATAGCTCCTCCAAGAAAAAACTCTTCTGAGTTGAAAATATACCTTCCGTTCATTTCAGCAATTCCTGAGTCCCACGCTGATACCAGTGGACGCTAAAACAGTAGCACCGAGTCCCACTGAGGTGGCCACTGCTGTAACAGTTAATGTGAGCAATGACAACGGCAGATCGAGACAACTTCCTTCCAGTGGTGACTGTCCGCTAGCTCTCATCACACTCCTTTGTAACCGCGCCGTACCTTACATCTGAGACTACGGCCGCAGGTAAAACGTGTCTTACGTAACGTGTGTGTAAACCAGTCTTGGACACACAGACAGGCACACAACAGGAAACCAAAAGAAAGCAGGGAACGTGGTGCTCAAGGCCATAACCGCTACAAACCACGGCCACAGGCTCTCTGGGGGGAGCTGAGCCAACACCGCGAGGGGGACCGCTACAAACCACGGCCACAGGCTCTCTGGGGGGAGCTGAGCCAACACCGCGAGGGGAACCGCTACAAACCACGGCCACAGGCTCTCTGGGGGGAGCTGAGCCAACACCGCGAGGGGGACCACGTGCAGCTTCCACCTCGCGGGTGCTCGCCGCCAGCAAGAGAAACAAAACGAAACTCTGTCATCATGTCACGAAATGTCTTGCAGGCTCAAGTCAGGGTGTAAAATAACATGCCTCACAAAGATGAACTGTCATAAGCCCAAACGGCACATCTCAAGGTATGACTGACTGCACGGCGAAATTCAGTGACTTTGCAAAATTTTCTCAAGGGAGCCCCTGGAAACTTCTCTGATCAGCTCAGCTCAATGCAGGACATGAGTCTGCACAGCTCAACACAAAATGATTCCCACCTACAGGGAAATTCCGCATCTAGTGATTTCTACCCGACCCCATGTGTTTTAGTCATCCACTGCTGAGTAACTAACCACCCCAAAACCTAGTGGCTTAGAACACTAATAACTGAAAATTCCTCGTGATTCTGGGAGCTGGCTACAGCTCAGCTGGGGGTTCTGCTGCTCTCTCTCGGGCCCCATCGTGCAGCTGCATCCAGCCAGGGGCCTGGCTGGCGCCGAAACACCCGAGACGGCTCCAGGCCTCCCAGGTGGCCTTTCTCTCCTGCAGGGGAACTGGACCTTTTACATGATGGCTGGCTCCCAAGACAAGAGGAGGAGAGAGAGGCCAGCCCTCTTAAGTCACAGAGAGCTACATCCACAGAATCCATCAGTCAGTGCGAGTCCCGAGGCCAGCCCGGCCCAAGGAAACGATCTACCTCCGGCGGACGAAGAGCATGCACACGCAGAGCGAGGGGAAGTGGGGAGGGCACCCTTGGACACTGTCCATCAAGCCGCAGTCCTCCCTACACACGATGACAGACTCGTCATGTCAGCGTGCCTCCGCGACAGCTCATCACTCAGCAGAGCACGGTGGGTAAGATCTGCTCTCATGTGTCTCAGACCTGCTGTTACATACCTTAGTTTGCTCTAAGTATGTTTTACTGTGCGGATCATGCCTTAACATGTCTAAACCTACACAAGAAAATCCAGATGAAACCCCTCTCGAGTTTCAGGCACAGGTACGTGTCTCTAGGTGCCACTGCATGCACCTGTGTTACAACTACCCGCGTGCCTCCCGGCTGCAGCCTCCACTCGGGCGGAGCCCTCACCCGCGCTGCCTGCAGTGGCATTCCCAGGGCCTCACGTGTGCTGGGCTGTTAAAGGGCTGTTCCTTCTTAGTTACTGAAAATCACTGCTATTTAAAAACATGTTCCTTCTTTAATACCAGATAGGAAAACTCCTGTAGATTTTTCCATGTATATTTTACAATGACAGAAAGCGTGTCCTTCATTATCAATGCTTGAATAGTTAGGCTCTAAGAAAGATAAAATTTTAACTACTATTATAGTTTTATGCTAAATTTACCCTCACTCAAACTTGAAAATGAGAGGTTTTACAACAGTGTACGACTCATTTTCTGGGAATTACCTTTCATTGGTCTCTAGTTCTAGACCTTCAGCTTGTAGCGAGAAATGTTCGTGCCTGCACCAACATCTCTCTTACAGTTGTGAGCAGCACGCTGTCTGATTGAAAATCCCATTGTTCTAAGCAGTTGTGCTATTCCTTCATAACTGAGGGTTCTCACTTCCTCAAAATATAAGAAAATAACATTAACTGAAATAAAAATATACTGACTCCTCAGTTACCTAGAATGACTCATCTTCAACCATAATGCAAAAATAAATTTCTTAAACTAACAATATAAAAATTAAAGTCACTATGTTCTTAAAGACCCAGAAGTGTTCCAACAACTGTGCCAGGAAAATGCTGGCTTTAAAAAATTTAGTATTCACATATATTATCATTATTACCTCACAAATATCTACAAAGTCACTCCCAAGAAGACATACTATAAATACAATGATTGAGTCCCCTCCCTTTCACTCGGGGCTATAATCTAATTTTAAAGGTTGTAACAGTGTATCCAAATTCCCAACAGAGATCAATTTTGGGGACTTGAAAGTGAGAAATTAGGAATCCTGAATTCTAAGTTATTCTCAAAATAGTTCTACTATTCATATTTTTACTCATTAATATGGGTATCTTAAAAATTAGTAAGATAAATCAAGTTTAGTAGCATTAAAGAAGAACTAGCCTACAGATATTATTAAAACACTGGAAAATGCCAGCAAAATTACTAGGTACTATTTCCAATAACATAACATTTGAATTTCTTAGCCTGTCAGTAGCAACAGGAAATCACAAGTTGAAATTAACAATTTATAAACTTACTTTGCTTCTGAAACTTATTTCTTAGAACACCACTCCTATACTCTGCATATACACGGATGAATACTAAGTTATTTACACTGCTGTTTACATTGTTAGGGGCAGACAGGGACACACACCCGTCACGTGGCTATAGCTGCGAACAAGGCTGACCAATGAGCCTGTGACTCCGCCCAAACTCCTGTCCTCCTCCTAGAAGTGTCAGCGCTCCCTCATTTTAGACTTTATGGAGGTGGGTCCCTTCAAGCCCGTAACGCTGCTATGGTGATGGCTCAGCTAATTCCTGTGGCAGAATTATGATCCACTCCCTCAACTTCCTGAATTCTGAACTGATTTTCCTTAGGATCCATCTGAAAAATCATGTGAATTATTTTACCCAGAACAGCTAGGATTTCTACATGTTCAGTTAATTACTGCAGATTATCCTATATCAACAAGCAATAAGTACCTATGTGTCAGCACATTTCAAAGCAATAAATAAGATTCCAGGAAAAGTTTGAAACATGTAAAAATAATTCATGATTTACATTAGAAACATACAAGCAAGTTAAACTATGATGATGAGGAACTACAAAAGTACTAACTTTCATAACCTGAATCTACAGCAGACTCATATGTGAAACCAATTTTACCTTATATCTCATCTTGGGACATGAGTGAATGTAGAAACCCATATAATAATAGCTGAGTTGAGGTGTTTTTTCATGCAGCTGCTTGGTGAAAGCAATTTCCCTGCCAAAAGAACAAAGATGAAGATACAGTTAAATCTAGTTCCAACATTCAAAGTACTACGTAATTTGATGACAAATATTTGATAAAATTTGATAGTAAGCTATCAAGAAAATCCAAGTGTTGAAAGGATTGAATAGTTGAATCCAAACTATTTTAAAAACACTATAAGATTATTTTCACTAAAAAGACACCAAAGAAACTCTAAATTATTTTGAGCAAATGCATCTAAGTTCAGGTTTTATGCTTTCTTGGGCATAGATAGTAGTTCACCTGAAATCTAAATAGCACAAAATCAAAGAGACCTATTTAATACGGCTCATTTTTATTCATTAAGCAGACAGGTAACCTCACCAAATGCTTCTCCCACGCCCTGGGTTGGGATTACACTTACATGAAATCCAGCCTCCCTGCCGGGAGCACAAGTCCTGCTCCCTCTGCCCCCCCCAGCGATGCCGCCTGCCTCTCCACCCTCCTTGCACAGCACCGTCCATCCAACCCGCACCCTAACCCCTGAGACCTTCCCTCTCTGTACTCCCGCCACCTCGGGGTGCACAGGCCGCTGCCCCTTTACCCAGACTCCTCCCCTCAGGTTTCTTCCACAGCCGGCTCCTTTTCTTCTCTCTTTGGATCCTCAAATGTCCCCTATTCAGAGAGGTCCTTCCTAACCACCTGTGCAGAAACAGCCTCAGGCCCACCACGACTTCACTTTGGCCGCAGCCCCACAGAGTACCCAGCCCTCTGTTCTGGGTTTCCCGACTTGCCGCTCTGACAGCGCCGAAAACCGTGTCTGGTGTATTAACTCCACAAACGCTGTCCGGACACAGAAGTAGGACTCGAGCCAACTGCTGCTGAACAACCTACTCACAGTACTACACGTCATCTCTCAGAAAAGCAAAGGCCATGATCAAGATCTCCAGTTCGGGGTACATGTACACAGTGGAATTCTATGCAGCAGAAAGAAAGAAGGACCTCCTACCCTTTGCAACAGCATGGATACAACTGGAAAGCACTATGCTAAGCGAAACAAGCCAGGCAGTGAAAGACAAATACCATATGATCTCACCTTTAACAGGAACCTAAACAACAAAACAAAGAAACAAGCAAAATATAACCTAAGACACTGAAATAGAGGACAGGCTGACAGTGACCAGAGGGGAGAGGGGAGGGAATTTCAGGGGAAAAGGGGAAGGGTTTACAACAGGAACAAATTTAAAGGACACATGGACAAAAACTAGGGCTGAGTGGAAATGGGAGGGAGGTGGGGAGGGCTGGGTGGGTGGGCTGGGATGGAGTGAAACATAGAAAATTGTATTTGAACAATAATTAACATAAAATTAAAAAAAAGAAAAAATGATCTCCAATTCGAACAATTTTTTAAATCTGCAGACTAGATTACATAAAAATCTATACTGATTACAGACTAAAATACACAAATCTACATTTCTTAAGTGACCGCTCAAGAAACTGAAGAAACGGAGAGAAAAGTGCCTCATCAGGGTTCACCGAACTGCATTACAATCAGTAGTGGCATTGGCAACGTGCAACCTGCTCCCCCACCTTTGCTCTGAGATGTCGATCCCCTCGCTCTTTCCCCCTCTCTAGCCTCAGCAACTCGCGGGGCCTGCTAGCACGGCTGGGAGGGGCCCGGCTGCAGCCTCGGGACAAGCGCCCGGCTGTGTTTGGTGCTCAGGCCCCGCTACCGCCCCAAAGCTCTCTAGCTCTGGAACTTTCAAGAGCAATGCCAAACAGTAAGCCGAACTCTTTCTAACTGTGCTGGGAATTAATTATTTATCTCAAATGCAGTATGATTTCTACATCTTTTCATTATTGAGACATGAAATAACATTTCATACACGGGACGGGATGTATTATGTAGAAATCAACATAATTCCTAATATTTATCTGCAAAGTCTAGATAAATCCATAGCTATGCACTGTAAAGTGATAGATACAAAAATGACACAAAAATGGCAGTAATTTCAAAGTATTAACTGATTTTTGCTACAAAAAAAGTATCTTCTGAAATAAGTAGAATACACTTGTAAAGTACAAAATGTGACTGCTTCAAATTATCAGTTCCAATTTCAGTTATATCACCAAGAGTCACGAGTATTTTTAGTTTATTTAAAATGCAATTAACTGCATGAGAAGAATGAGAGAGTATTACAGAGATCAGTTGTAGCCACTGCACAACGTAAATTTGCTCTAACTTGGCAGGAAGAGACAGGCTGGGTTGAAAACACCAAGATGGAGAACTTCTTCATATTGTGGGCCATTGAAACACACACACACACACACACACACACACACAAAATCAATCATGGACCACACTTAAAAAAAAAATCAAATAGTGATTAAAGAAAAATGTCAAATCTTCTGTTTTTATAATTCAAAAAAGCACACACACAATAACTAAAATAATCTCAGAGTATATTTTACCATGATGTAAAAACGTGACCACTAGACAGAAAGACTGGGAAACGCAAAGAGAAAAGAGTGACACAACGACCAAGAGGGAGAAAAAGAAAGACTGGAGCCCCCAACGGAAAACCTGCTCTCGATTCTCCTCCCCCTCCCCCACCACGTGCCTGCGTAAGCAAGCAAGAGTAAATGCAGAGACAAGTGTTTCCACGGAGGAAGACCCCAACCTCTTCACTACTCGGGCAATGGAGGTGTGCTGCGGCGCACGCAGGTGCAGCCACGGACACACACGGGAAATCGCCGTCTGGTGAAGGTCACGCAGTCACGCACAGGCAGGGACTGCCCGGTCCTGCTCTACCACTTTATACGGCTACGTATTTCTTCCAACGAACACTCACCGCTTCAATTCATTTACACCAGACCCGTTCAACCTTACTAAGAAATACACAACAGTGATGATGAGAAAAACGTGACACTTAGGGAACGCTAAGTGGTTCTGCAGGGAGCTCACACGAACGCACAAGCGAGACAACAGCAGCCCCACAAGGACAATAACCCCTCACACACTGGGCTGCACGGCCCTCGGAAAGCTGGGAGCTACCTAGACGCGGGCCTCAGTTCTGAAAGTGGTATTTCCAAACGCCACCGCATAAGAGCCCACCACAGCAATAAACTACTACACACGATCACAGGAGGGCTTCTACTGTTACACGATGAAATGCAATCAAAACGGCGGCCTATTATACGACCCAGCACAACCGTGAAAGCAACCTTACCGTAGTGCAGAGTAGACCCCCAAGGAGAGAAACGAATAATCGGGGTCGTAGTACAGATACACAGAGGACACGCAGTACGGAAGGATGTCAATCACCCCCACGGCAACGATCCTGCCGTCAAGCCAATACTGCTGGTGAAATGAGCCATAACCACAGTCTGGTCCATTCGGGGGGTTCTCTGCCTGTGGAAGAGCAGACACGCAAACGTGAGCAGCTTGTCATAAAACACGTATCTGATTAAACTACTGCGGTACTCAAAAATACAAGACTTTTACATTCAACAATAAGCAAATAACCCATCTGACAAACAGGCAAAATACCTGAGCAGACGCCTCACAAAAGAGTACGTACAACTGGCAAATGAGCATATGAAAAGATGCTCAACATCATCTGCCGTCCGGGAACTGGAATTTAAAAAACAGCGGGAAAGCACCACACACTGTTACAACGGCTGAAACCCGGAGACCGGAATGCTGACGGCCGAGGGGGGCGCCGAGCCGCCGCAGCTCTCGCCCACCGGTGGTGGGGGCGTCAGCCCGCAGCCCCACGTCGGAGGCGGTTTGGGCGAGCCTCACAAATCCAAACAGTCTTACCGTACAAAACAGCAATCGGGCTCCTAATTATTTACCCAATTAGTCTGAAAACTTGGGTCACACAAAAACCCAAAGGCCTGCCCTGCTGGTGTGGCTCAGTGGATTGAGCGCCAGCCTGCAAGCCACAGTTCCGGCTCCGGCCTGGGTGGTGGGCCAGGTCCCCAGCGGGCAAGGGGCAACTGACTGATGTTTCTCTCCCTCTCCTCCTCCTGTCCTACCCCTTTCTCTAGAAATAAATAAATATACTCTTAAAAATAAAAACCCCCAAGGCCTACACACAAATGTTTATCACAGTTGTATTCATAATCTACAAAAACTGGAAGCAACCAAGATATTTTTCAGTAGGTGATCAACTGTGGCACATCCATTCCCTGGAATATTATTCATCAATAAAAAATTAACTATTGATACATACCGTATGATTCCAATTACATTCTGCGAAAGATAAAACTAGAGAGACAGTAAGAAGATGAGTGGTTGCCAAGAATCCGGGGGGATGACAGGAGGGATGAGTAGAACCCGGCACTCAGCACAGCCCAGCCCAGCCCAGGGAAGTTTGCAGCTGAAACTGCTCTGTGTGCTACTGCAGAAGCAGACACACCATATAATGCGTTTGTCCAGACTCACAGGACTTCACACCACCAAGAATGAAACTTAATGTGTGCAAATTAAAAGAGAATCGTTTAGGAGGTTACGGGATCCCAGGAAGGACTGGGGAGAGATTCTGTGTGAAGCGACCTTTGAAAGAGGTCGGAGCGGGGAAGGGTGCTCACCTACGTAACTTTTGGGGCCTGCTAGGGCGAAGGCAGCAGGAAGTCCGCACACAAGCATCGTCACCTCCCTGACCAAGATTTTCCCCGAGAGCACTGCAGGTTAACAATCCCGATGCTGATGCACAGCCACGCTGGAACTGACCAATTCAGCAAACGGGTGCAGGATGGCAGAAGCCAGGGCACTCACTGTTCGAGTGGGAGTTCACAGATCAGAAGGGGGAAGAGGCTAGGATGATCCATGCGGTCATGACTAGAATTAGAGACCTGAGTAAGAACGCACGTTTAGCTCAATACAGACACAGACAGTTACATACAGAAATACTTGTAGGTGTGTATCTCTCACAGACATGTTCATTCATACAAAGGTCAGTACACACACATCTGTTTATTCGTTCTGTCAGATGATAAGGCCTAAAACACCGACACCCAGCAGCAGCAAGCACACCGAATGCCCCATCTTGGTGTCTCGACTCTGCAATAAAAGGAACAAGAAAAAGGAACCATTTCTCTTTGGAGAAATGGCTGATTCCAGGACTGGGGCAGGAAATGTACACGATGAGCCCAGAGTATCTTGTAGGCGCCCAAGAGGAAGGAAATACTCAAAAAAAGAACAAACCCCCAGGGATGGAGGTGTATCAAAGGGACAAGGGGGTCAAGTGAAAGAGCTCCCAAAGGTCTAAATCGAAATAATTTGGACAACAAAATAAAGTAGTATTGGATTATAACCCAAAGCATAAAATAAAAATCAATGAGTCCACACTGATATATATGATTGAACAGATTAACAAATGAGGAAGAAAGACAAATCACCCAGGAACCCCAGAAGTTTATGCAGACACTCGTTCATGCCCTAAAGGGAGGGAGCACAGCCCCTACTGCCTCTGTGCGGGCCGCACCAGGGACCTCCTTCCGAGGGGGGGGGTTGGGGAAGGGGGAAAGTACCTGCCCAGGCGGTCAAGGTCAACGACAACAAGTTAATGAGGGTTTACTGAGGTGCTACCAGTATCAGTAATTTCCGTAACTTCCACTGCTGTAGACAAAGTGTTGTTTGGGCAATAACAACATCTTTACACTTTCAAGAGCTTCCACCAACTATAATAATAAATTACGTCAAACCCAGATTTCAGCATTCACTTCCCACACAGCTTCACCCTTTTAAAAAGTCGAGATTATTTCCCCAGAAACAGTTTCAAGAGAATAGGTAAACGGAAGCATTGGCCAAAAGGAAACAGGTAAGCGCACTAACCTGTCACACCTACAAAACCTGGCCTGACCCCACCTGCTAACAGACCGGAAGCCCGGTGACCTGGGCCAGCACCTGGGAGGCTCCACCCACGCAGTCAGAAGTAAACGAGTTCCTACGTGCTGTGCAACTGCATAAAAACCACCCCCCAGAGCGCAGCCGAGGTTCGAACGCCGCCGCTGTCTTCAGAATCGATGGAGCAGGAGGGCAGCCCCAGCTGGGACGTGCAGGCAGAGAGCAGCTGTCAGTTCACGAAATGTAAGGCGGGAGCTGTCAACTGTCAGAAACCTCCAGGTCAAAAGCTAATCAAACGACTTGGAAATGAGTCTAAATTCATTCACGACTTCAGTTACTGCCTCATTCTAGGTCGCTAATCTCTCTGTGTATTCATTCATTCATTTAAAAAATGTACTTATCACCCTGGCTGGCGTAGCTCAGTGGATTGAGCGTGGGCTGCGAACCAAAGTGTCGCAGGTTTGATTCCCAGCCAGGGCTCATGCCAGGGTTGCAGGCCACGGCCCCCAGCAACCGCACATTCCTGTTTCTCTCTCTCTCTTTCTCCCTCCCTAAAAATAAATAAATAAATCTTTTTAAAAAATGTACTTATCGAGGACATAAGAATGGACCCAATAAGCATATTCTCAATAAATAAATGACCACTGTATTCTTTTAAGCCTAGAACAGACATCAGTTCTACCTGTTGTACCAGCTTGAGATATTTTTTAAAACTGCAATTACCTCCTCAGTGTCCAATACCCATCTGTCTGTTTCGTTCCCCGGACCTCCCATTTAATGACCTGCCCCACGGACTTCACTGGCTTCAAGGAGCGGTTCTTCTCCCGTAGGCATTATTCCCTTCTCTCGGTTCCCTCGGAAGTCAGGGGTCTTCCCCATCTGCAAACACTTGATAGACACGGGCTGCCTCACGATGACTTACTCGGGAAAAACCTAAGCCCCATACCCACCTACTCTGACTCCCACCCCGTCACAGACGAGGAGACCTAAAAGCCAGGAGTCAATGAAGCAATACAATCGTGAAACCACGGAGTTATTAACACACTGACTCAGAGTGATTTAACTTTTTTTTAAGTGTATTTCTGCATTTTTGAAAGAGAAATGACACTACTCCTCATCTTCAAGGGCGGCTGTAAGGAAATGACCACGTGCAAATAAGAGCACCCTGCAGACCGTGAGCGAATTCGGGCCAGGTGCAGCTTCTGGCTTCAGGGGCCTGAATGGCCCACACCAAGGGACTGTGTCTGTGAAATTACCGCAGTAGCTCGCTCACTTAAAATGGTCAAGTTACACAATAGCAGTGGGCTTAAATTTCCTCATAAATAAGTTGGTGATGTGATTAGCAATATTTAATAGTTTATCTCTCTCATGCCTTTAGTTTATTTATACAGTTGGGATTTGTGAAAGGACAATAAGCAAAGTTATTTCTCAGAAGTTACTCAGTTTCAAGGGTTTAGCTGACAACAGGAAAAATACAATAAAGTGCACCACAAGCTATACAAAAGGAAAACCGCCTTCCACCTTGGGCAAGGACGGCACGGCTCTGTGATTAATGAGCTGTGCAGCACAGCACCAGAGGCACTGTGCAGAAACGCCATCCACATTAATAGCGCAGTTCAGGCTTCTGGTCAACCGCTCCCACCATGAGCGTGTATTTGCTCTGAAGAAGTGCGCCTGTCTCCTGACCCATCAGCCTCCACGTACCCAAGTGAAGCTTAAAACAAACACTGCTGAGCCTCAAAGGAACAGGCAAAGGGCAGCACTGGGGGCTTAACCAGGGGTGCAGAGACGGGACTGAGAAGGTCTTCAGGGTCTTTGAGAGCAGGGCTTGTGTTCTTTCCCCTAAGGCATCCGAAAGTACCTCCCCCCAAAGACCACTGCTCACACACGAATCTATGATTAGCTAATCGGTGTCCTAAATAGTGTTTTTATTTTTAGAGAGAGGGGAAGGGAGGGAGAGAGACATCAGTGTGCAACAGATACGTGGATCGGTTACCTCTCACTTGCCCCCAACTGGGGACCTGGCCCGCAACCCAGACGTGGGTCCTGACTGGGAATCCAACGGGCAACCTCTTAGTTCACAGGCTGGTGGCGCTCAATCCACTGAGCCACACCAGCCAGGGCCTGAACTTTTTTTAAACAACAGTTCATGGAGGCCCCTAAAGGTAATCTATTTAAGCACCTGACTGAAAGTCTGCACTGGTTTACAATAACTTATTTCTTGTTTTGCCTTTTGTTAATAGTTTCATGAAACATTGTATTAAACATTGGATTCATTTTTTTAAAAAAACCCCAAAGGTGTGTTAAACCACTATGACATCAAAATCTACATTATCTCTTAAAAAAAAACAACTAAATTTTGAAATTAACTTTTTAAAAAGATGTCTAAACTAAAAAAACAACTAAATTTGAAAGTGTCTCTAATAAGAAATAAAATTTAATTTGCAAACTGCAAATAGCAGCACTCGTGATTAACATACCACATGCTTTTGTACACGTGATTTAAAAATCAAATGCAACCAATTCCTAATTTTCTGGCAGACAATCAGTACACTAAA